CTGGTTCATCAATCTCCGTTTCATGTTCCTTAAATTTTAAGGGTATAGATGGCAAAAATAAAGACGTGAAAAATAGAATCAACCCCCCCCCCCCCGGGATAGCCACACCTAAAATATTATACTAACATTCCCGGAAACCCATGCATATCCTCAATGGTAAGCTCATCAGCCCAGAAGGTTTCATGTTCCTAAGTGTAATGGCGTAAGGGTAGAAGCACGAATAACGATGTAAAATTTAAAATCAACCTCCCCAGGGACGGCCACACCTAATGTCACAAAAACCCAGAAGGACCCATTCACATCCCCAAAGACAGGGTTTTCAATCCCCATAGCCTTACGCTCCCAACTTTATTGGTCTAAGGGTAGATATCAGGAATAACAATGTCAATTAGACTCAAACGTCCACAGGACTCCCTCCCCCGAAAAAAAACCGAAGTGCCCTTCCACATCCAAAATGGTATGTAGCCATGTTTCATGTTCCTAGCATAAAATACGATGTAAAAATTAGAATAGACCACCCCCAGGGTCGACCACACCCCAAGTCACAATTAAATTCCGAAGAGCCTTTGCAAATCCCTATAATGATAGGTTTATTAATCCCCGACGTATCAAGTTCCTAACTATGATGGTTTAGGAAGTAACAATGTGAAATAGATTATGCATGTATATAATTGTTCACCCCAGGGGAAGGCTTGACCAATGTCAGCGTACCTAGCCGAGACAAAACCGTCCCCATTCCAATTCTACCTCTATAGAACTTCACACTATTTACTGACCAAGAAAAAAATCTGGTTGCAAAATGAGTTCCGATTGAAAAATTTTCACGATTTTCTTTGATTGCAAAATGCGTTGCAGTTGCAAAATGTGTTCATCTGCAAAAATGCGGCTCTAAATTTGTAAGCCGTATTTTGCAACTGAACCGGTTGCAAAATGCGGCTCTACACCAGTTTTATGAATTCCCAGCATTTCATTCTCCCCGACATCTATCTGGACCGTTTCAAATCATTCAGATTTCAGACTTTCCGACCTTAAACGTTTTCATTAAGTATACTGACAGTCAATGAAAACGCATCAGAAAACTTTCTTGTACTTTTCTACTCTTGTCCTTTTGCCGAGAATCGATTCCAACCATATAAACAATTATAAATGCACTAGTTTGGTCATAAGAGAGTGGGCTGACCACTCGGATGTTTAAAGTTTCCGCTGCCATTTTGTGATCAGCTGTTACAAAATCATGTGTTTTTCCTGTGTTTTTCCTGATTGGTGTGAATTAATCAGGTTCAATATATGATGATTAATTAAGCCTATTTAAGGTAGTCACCAAATCCAGCATGACCTATGACAAAAAAGTTCTGTGAGGAATAATGGAATAGACGGTTTGTTAAAGATATTAATGTACACCTACTGTGGAGCAAATTAAAACCTCTCTGCCTAGTAGAGTTCTCTACCTACAATGGAAAGACATACATTCCTGCTACTGTGTACTAGCCACATCTATAAACCTGCCCCGTCAATCAAATCACACATGGTCAGTTTTATGTCCTAGTTTAAAGGCAGGCAATGTGTTCATTTATAGACTTCGTTTGTCTTATACATATAGTGCCTTAGACCCGCCATGATTCAATGCCAAATATTGTCAGTTTTTAATCGTCCTGAAATCTCAAAACTACCTGTAAATGGGTAAAACAAAAAACTAGCTTTATGCTTTCGGTTACAGGACCGAAGCTCTTGAAATAAAGTTCATTATTGATAGAAGTTAAACTCACGGGTATCTACGAGAACATCTGAAAAAAAAAACAGCTTCATTAAACGAGATAAAATACGCACTATCATGTGAGTGAGTAATGTTACTCCACCCCCACCCCCCCTACACACACACACACACACCATTGCAAATACACGCGTCACTCTGGAAATCATGGTCTAGAATGAAACATCATATCGACCTTTACGCCTAATTTCCACATCCATCCAACTGAAACATGTTTGGATACAATGTCCCATGAGGTGGTAATATACTATGAAGTCTCCTAAGGGTCCCTATTTTTTAACCAATGAAGTCGCCTTCTATCATGAAGTAGTAATTCTTATCCTATGAAGTGGTAATATACCATGAAGTATCTTAACATACGTTTCTTAGCATTCGTTATCCCAAAGGTACCCCTAACATATGGTGTTGAGATTTTGAGTGCCTTGATTTTAGTGTGACTCAAAATCGGTTCACTACGTGCACATTAAAATCGGAGCTCAACCAGAATTATTGGTTAACAATGAAATATATATTGACTTATTTCAGGGAGGCTTTTGTGCATGGCTAAAACTAACCGTACAATCTCAACTTCATTCTTAATCTGCACGCGCTCTTGTGGTTATTTGAATTAAAGAATCAGTACCTTTCGTCTCTTTGTTCTGCGTTTCCTTTAAACCTACCTCTCCCGCCAAGAAAACCGAAAGTCGGGATATGCGTCCTGCCTGAAGACAAAGCTCCCTTTCTCTGAAACACATCTCGGATAGCTTCATAACCGTTCAATATAACCATTGTTGTGGTTCCCATTTTGACGGTGAATATGTTGCCATACTTCTCGGCCCATTTCATCATAGTCAGCTGGGGCTCTCTGTCGAGGAGGGGTAAAACACCGACGACAGGGAAACCCCATGGGCCAGGAGGAAGGTTGAAACGATTTGAGTGTCTCGCACACCAAAGGAGTAAAATAAATGCAAGTGCGCTCAGTACCAGTGATGTATCAAGGAAATCGCTGAGAGCTACCTCCATGTTATATATATATGTGTGTGTGTGTGTGTATGTGTGTGTTCCTGTTATGCAGGTACAGTGTATTTATAACATGTAGTGCGTAATGCCCGTATTACAAGATGTTATTTGATCTTCAATGTATAGAGAAATAGCGGTTTCGGTATTTTTACCTTAGCATTTACCTAGATGTCTATAGCCTTGTTTGTAGATAATTTGGATATGGTGTGGTTAAAATCTTGGTGGTAAACGCAAAAAGTTCAAATTTACAGGAAAACTCAGTACTCTCTATATAAAGACCCCTTTGTGTAAGCAAAACGCTCATGGTAAGCCTTTGAAAGTTCCTTGATCAGGTTAATAAACATGAGTTCACTTTTTACATTGCAAAAATGATGTAGATGCAAAGTGATAATATTGTAGTTAGTGTAAGTAATTGAATGTTACTATGTATGTGTAAATCCAATATATAACAAAACAACGGTAAGAAAGCTTGTTGACAGGCATTTTTGCCCTCCCTAAATCAGTCAATAATCGACCAGTCAATAACAATGTTTTTTTAAGAGGAAATGAGAGCTGGATTGCGAGGTGCGATTTGATTGCGTTTGCTAAGATATAGCCGTTTTCGTATCGTGTCAGAATCACGCAGTGTACTTTTGATGAAACAGAATACGCAAATTTCGCGTTGAGTGTCAGTAGCGGGCAAAATTATAAACATATCAGTTGTGCGTCAGATACGGGATTTTTTCATGTCGGCGTAACCTTTTTTCATGCATTTAAAATAGCAAAAGCTAAATGTATTTCCTGGATCATTTTTTTCCAATTTCACTACAGCTCTAACACAACATTCGTCGTCATCTGTCGACCTTATGAGCCTTCCATAAATTCAAAATTGTCTAAACCCGTTATTTTATAACAACTGATTACCATATGGCATATTCAAGATTTATATCACTAATCAGTCACACAAATCGCTAAATTTTGACAGAAAAGAAACACTTCTAATACCGTTCAGAAAACTAAACAGTAAGAGTCTGAATCCTATATACAGAACATCATGCTCATGTACGAGTATAAAGGCGCTTTGACGACACATTGTTTACCAGTGCATTGTTAAGTCTGAATGCTCGCGCATGTTGACACACCAAAACAGCATACGTCACAGCGTGGAAACGTTTATGTGAACAATACACTGAAATCTTAAGTAAACACACATTTGACGCAGGCGATCAGAGACCAAGTGATTAGGATAGAAGTCGAAGGGATAAACAAAATGGCGGACCAGGTTAAACTCTGGCTACACTGCGTTATCTTTTTGGTTTTATTACAAATACAGGTGAGATTTTATCCTGATATTATCCATGATAAGTTCATTTATTTACGGATTTAAACGGAAAGTTGGTATTTAACAGTTTCTGTGGGACTGAGGAGGTTAGGGACGTAGTCGTTACGGATAAAGGAAAGTAACTTCGATTTTCCATTTTCATCAAATTACAGTTATCGGCTTTGATTGCACTGGTATTTTAAAGTAGCCACCTTCCGAAAAGTGACCTCTCACTGATATCAGGAAATGGGAATTGATATGGACGAAGTGGGATTAGGTCTTGTAGAAATAATACCGGTGATACATGCTAGTGTTATGTCCAACAGAGGGTTAGGTGTCTAGAAGTGATATAATATAGTGACTGATTACCCTCTAGAAGATTGATTTTTCATTAAATATTTTAAAATGTGTCCCTGGATAATGCATGGCACTTGTCTGCCCTTCGCGTAAGGGAAAAGTGTACATAACTTCAATCCACGGCCCTGGTAGAGAGTAGTGACTGATGCAGATTCGATGTTTGTGATGATGCCCCAGAAAACACTGTTCTAATAATGGTGAAAAACCACTGGCATTCAAGATTCTGCTGTCATTGGACTGGCTCATTTTTCAATTTTCATTTGCATTTTCCACGACTTCTTTTACCGGTTGTGAAAATTCAAGCAAGTCTCAGAAAATGACCACAATTTCATCCAAACATCTATAGACTAAGAGTGGTAGATACTCTACTACTCTTTCATCTAGACTAATCCATTACTTGTTCCCGTTAGACGAAATAGGCGCCGTGAAGACTTCTATTCTTCATCAGTTTAATAAATAATGACGTGGGCGTCATTGTCTTTTCCTAAAACACATATACACAAGAGCGTACGTCCATAGCCTGTTCTATATGTAATGATATTAGACTAGAAGGTGTTAAAGTTTGTTAATATTCTCTTTAGGGAACTGAAGGATGTTACAGCCTGTACTACAATTGCTGGTATTCTTTGTGGTACTTTTGGTGAGTAGATTTATTTGTTAGTTTATTTTTAATGTTTTATTTGTTTACAGAACATATCCAACTGATTAAAACGCACTCATGTGCTCTCTCTCTCTCTCTCTCTCTCTCTCTCTCTCACACACACACTCACACACACACACACACACACACAGACGAGCGCCTTTTTTACATCTTTTAACTTGATTATGAAACTGGTGTATTTCAAGAAGGCGCGTCACATTACTATGGAGATTCGTTTATAGTTAATCAAACATGTTTCACGTATTTTCAGGGTCTGCATTTTCATAGTGATAGCTGTTGTAATTGGTATCTGTGGTGGAGTAGCACGTAAGCGCCATTTGGCAAGACAGAGAATTACAGTAACAACTACCCCAGTGGCCCCACAAAGCAACGGTAAATAGCTAAAGGAACCGGTGTGTGTGTGTGTGTGTGTGTGTGTCGGCGTGTGTCGGTGTGTTTGAGAAAAAGATGAAAAAAGAAGATAAGGTATATTTATTTTAAATGTTCAATACAAAAACAAGGAATGGCATATCACACACACACCCTTTTTTAAATACAGTTTAAATAATTTCTTAAATTTTAGTAATAAACCTTATATTGACATCGAGCTTTGCTGTTTCAGTCGTGATGAGCGTTACCAACACTCACAATGTACACAGTCAGATGGTACAGCCGCCTCCCTACCAGCCCCCACCAGCATACCAACCCCCCAAGAGCAACTACCCCCCTCCCGGAATGGGAGCCTACCCACCCCCTGGGGGTTGTTACCCTGCTGGAGGAGGAATGGACCCTGCTTACCCACCGCCAGGTAACACTGTCGCTATCCTTTAGTTCGGAACTCTCACCCTCTGATATTCTGTAGTAAATTAGTGTAGAAATACTCAACACTAACATTTTGCGAGAGGAACTTTGTGTGACGGTTTCTCACCTGTCACAATCGTGATTTGTTTCGGAGTGAAATGTCTTGAATCAGTGCAGCACAGCTGGTGACCCAGGTGAACTAAATCAGCATTTTAATTACTATGTTATTAAAAACTTAATAAATTGATTTTAATATAGCATAATGGATTTAAATAATTTACTGGGCCACATGTATCTGTTACATCAGCTAACGTCATTTAATCTACACTTGCGTGAAGTAATTAGATTAATTTACATAGTATAATTGCAGCAGTATTATATAAGAATAATGCTCTAACACAATAGGACCTTTTTTCTGTAATCCCCTCAAACATATGTTCAACGTAAAACAGGCTTTTTTGCCCGTCTCTTTTATGAAAAACTCATTGTCTAATACAATATTTAAAAAAAAAGATGGTTAAATACGTGAGGTATGCCTGCATACATGTATATCTCGTGTAATATACCGAGAATGTTTAAATCAACATCCACATTTTTTCATTGGCTAATTAAGTTTCATCTGGGTTCTTTCTGCATTCCAGGCCCACAGTACTCACAACCGTATGCCTCAACGGGGATTGGCCAGCCTTCGTATGGATACGCATTTCCTTGAAACTAGAGATTTTTAAAAACTATATCATATCATGTCCACAGACGGGAGCTAGCTTTCAGCGCAGGACAATGTTAGCAAGATCGCCTTCATCTTCCTCTTTTTCTAACCATATCCCTCTGTAGGGATGGTATGGTATTCAAGAGTAAACGAGAGGCCCTTCTAGTTTTTAAACTAGGTAAAGAGAAGTATGGACACATTTGTTTTTCTCGTCTTTCCCATTAAATAGCGAGAAAGCATTTTCGGATTATATGGCATCCCTTCTGAATACAGGAATGTTTTATTATATTAAGCTTACCTTAGGCAACTTTAAGGCAACTTATATTTAGTAAGGATTAAGACAAATATTTGTTTTAACCTTCCGATGCAAACAAACGTAATCCGCGAAACAGAGCCTGCATTGTAGGGATATTCTTCCAGCTTATATCATTATGTATTTATCTTGAAATATTTCGTAAATGATGTTTTTATCTGTGATACTATTTGGTTCGTATATGCCACATTAGGCGGTGTTTTAGCTTCAATGTTACTTGCAAGTGTAGCGACGTCTGCCATTTTTTCATGTAAAACTGATATACTATTTTAAAGTATGTGCTCCCCGTGGAGGTATTTGTTATATTCAGTATATTTGGAAAAAATATAATTATGGCTTAATACTTATTGAATCTCCCAAAAGCAAACTTTCCATGTTTATAGCAGAATTCTAGTATTGCTTAACTGTCAACTGTCAATGCTATAAGCCAGGTGTAATCCTGCACTTTTATTTTTATTCCAAGCTCGTGTTTTATTCAGATGTATACATATAATGTATATATATGAACGAGTTGTGTGACTTTGGATTTCTTTTTTTTATCACGAAGAAATGTGTTATATTATAAGCACCATAAGGTATAAAGAACTGGGTAATCTTAAGTTCTTCCAGCTAGTCAGCCACCGTTTTAAGGTAGGCCTAGCCAAGAAAACCTCCTGTTTATATGCAACACTTACAGATTTTCTAATAAACATGTTATTTTCTCATATCACCGTGTTTAAAGTCTGCTGTTGTATATGATCACTTCATCCGCACTGGTTTATTGACATAGCAAAAACAAAACAAAACAAAAATGACAATTTATAAGGTTGAACACAGTCAACAGATTATCGAAAGTTATGTCCTTCGCTTCATTGTGCTTGTTGTGACTTTTGTTGTTACATGTACCATCCTCGTACCGCTTGATCGCGAAGTGGTTTAAGTTTCGGAAAGTCGGGTATACAGCCTCAAAATGATCCTGAAATATCAAACCAAAATCTTTTTTTATCAAGCCTGATATGTTTGTCGTTTCCCCATTTCTTTCTTTAAGATATTTATTGACAGACATTTTTGAATAACTACATGTACATGTATAATGAGTTCCGGTGCGATGTGTCCATTGGAATACGATCATGTTCCCAATGATTTGTACAGGCAAGTCCTGTCCTTTAAGTTCGACCCACTTGCGTCACGCTAACCTTCACCTGTAGGAATCTGTAGGAGGGCGGACTTTCTGTTAAAAGGACCCTCATTTTCGTCACACCCGCTCCGCAATGCTGCAATGTTCAGGGACGGGTCAAGCACACAGCCTTATCTTTACGTGTATATAGCGGCATCATAGTCTCCTTGATTGCTTCTTGATTGATTTTGGAGAAGGGGAGAAATAACGCTGTTATATTTATTTACGAAAAATAAGGCAAGCTGTAGATACGTCGTGTCTGATCCGTCTGTGCGTCAATTACATTATGGACTGAATAAAAAGAATATTCCGTATTGGCCTTTCAAGACATAATGTAAAAAGAAGCTGTGGGAAATGAGGAGCTTCAGACAGTAGGTCCTGCAACTACCGGTAACTCAACTTGCGGTTAAATATGTAAATTAATTTGTACGTTATATTTTCCAATTGTGGTTACATCCAAAATCAACTACATAGTTCACTTTATCAGTCAAAATCAATATTTTCATTTTTTCAAACCACTCGTATTTCACCCCTCACGTACCCGGGTCAGAAGACGGTAAACATGGATCAGCTGATGCTCTTGCTGAGATAAGCGTTCAAGAAAAGTGGGCTCACTGTCAATAAGCTCAGTGAGGCTGAAGATTAACGAAGACGAAAGGTAGGCTGACCATCTCTCGTCCACTCTCATTAGATAACATGCTGAGGGTCATCTATTATAACCAACTCTTAACGCGGTAAACTCGGGCATTAACTGATACAAGGAGGCGCAATTTGCCCAAGGTTTTCTCGCTATCTTCCCCAACGTTAACATAACGTGTCGCTTGTGATAAGTAGGAGAATAAGGTCTTAAGCGAAGGTGAGAGCTGATATCAGTGCAACTTTGACGGCAACGCTAAAACCCCTTTTACACTGGACGGCGTCCTTTCTGCGTCCGTTGTGCGACCATGAAGCTGGCATCGCTGTGGTCGTAGAAAGGAGGTACAAGAATTGCTTTAGTTGCAGAATGATGAGGATGAAAATGGGCAAATATTTGAAGTTCGAAACTGTTAAAAGAGAAGTTGGATTCATAATCAATTAATGTAAATATTGTTATACGTTATCATTAATTAATAATCATAATATAATATAATGTGTCATAACTTTATAAAATAAATTAACACACCTTGTCTCTTATCAAAATCGCATTTAAGGCTCTCCTGTAATCATTTACCAAAGACAATCTATTGCCACCTGTATGTCTTAAAAAAAAGTGCATTCTTGTGAATATACTTAGTTAAAAGAAAAACGTTAGTTTTGATAAAAAGTTTCTTTGTCAGAGAAGTTTTTTGATAAATACATATTCTTGAATACAGAAGCATTTAAAACTGACAAGTGTGATTTATGGCGAAATAAAGATATATATGTATATGTATATCTTTATCAATTCAGGTAATTCTTGTTATCAGTCTAGTTGAGGTAACCGGGTAGTGTGCGTTATTTTAACCCGCTTCGTACATGTACAAGTTGCGCTGCGGCAATCACGCTCAGAACGCACGCAACGCACAGACGTCCGCATTTTTAATCAACAGTGGCCGATAAATGTTGCATTTCACTTTTATAATCTACAACTCATCAGATTAGTTAAATACCTTTTGGATTTAAGTGGCAGTAACCATTTTACACGACACGTGAAAATTTAAAAAATCAGAAATTGTAACTCTGAAAGTATCTGATGAAGTTTCATCCACACGTGACGTCATAGCGAGAAAAGTTCACGACTGTGGCACTGAAAACATGTATTAAGACTTGACATTATCACTTAAGCTCGTATGTCCATCATCTTATCAACTCACTTTAACTGGCTAGTCAATCCCACGTGTTGTGGCGCGTGTGTTTGTATACGTGCTGTGCTTTACATAAATACAGTTTCATATTTGGTTTTTAGTTACAAGACTGTTTCTAATTGCCGGACGCTTCTCGTCCTTTTTGCAGTGTACACGCAAGAGAAAAAAATGTCAGAATTTCACGAAGTGGACGAAACGCATGAACGGGCGCCCCTGATCTCCAAAGATTTTGCAGAGACGTCACTCTCTAACAGAAAAACAACCAGCTATAGCGCCCTGAGTATTGAAAAGGGACACCCAAATGGAGGATTTCACGGCAGTTCCATGGGACACGACAAACAGCCAAATGGCTTTATGAACGGGAAAGTCAGTCACGGTGGAGGTGAACACGGGTATATGTTCGGTGGACGGAAAAGAGTCCTATCGACTAGACTCAGTTTCTCCGAGTCGTTCGATAAAATCACGCTTACCTGGCACGATATCAATGTGTTTGTCCCGCCGCCTGAGCGGAAGTGGTTTCATTGCCTTAGAAACGGAGACGGGAGAGCCGAACCCGGGGCCAAGCAGATTCTGAGCAACGGTAAGAAAACCTTTTATTCTCTTTTTTCCTTCTTATCTTTGGTTCTCTCCAAAAACCAAAATGAAAGATGAAAGTGGGATATGATGCTTTTTATCCAATTTCTTTGTGTTTTTCTTTTTTTTTTCAATTTGCTATAACATTATTTATGAAGCGCTTAACAGAACATCATGATGTTTCTGCATATTTCTCTTTTTCCATTTTTTTTTAAATATTCAGGTATCAAAAATAGTTAGAACGTTTCAGGATGGTTTAAGTTGGGCTACTGTAGCCAATAATATACACAGCTATCTCAAATAAGTGGACTTCAGACAAAATTTAACGATATGTGATCATTACACAAATTCATTTCACTCCAAATTTCGGAGCCCTTTCGGAGCCCAATTCCCTTGTAACTGATTAATTTAATTTGCTGCAAGGGTCAATAAAAATAGGACGCTTAAGTTAAAAGTGGCATTTTTTACATGTCTTTTTCTGGCCAATAACTCAAGGATCAAGAATATTTGTCAAATAATTTTAGGGTTCTGTGAAGTGGTTGAAGTGGGTTACTGCAACTTTTAACCTACCAAAGAACACCAAACCAGAAATATGCAGATAAAACGGTATTTGGTCATAAACATATTTTATATAAACAGTTTACAAATTCCTCATCTTTAAACGAACTGGCATCATGTGGGTACATTTTGACAGCAGAGAGTGTCTACATTGTTGGAAAAGCGTTTAACAAGGGTCAGGAGCACCAAAGACGCGTACTATCACATTCATTGACAGCCTCCCCAGCCGAGTCCATCCCAATTCTTCACATTGCTACACAAGTGAGCTTATCAATATACACACTACACTTAGAGTGTTCACTTGATAGAAGTGTTTGTTAACGTTGATAGCGCGTTCAGTCTTGAACTAGGGGAGGCAACAGAGAAAGGATAAATGACACCAATCCTCCTTTGCAAGATCCGAGATCTCTGGCTCTAAGCCAAATATTAATTTTTTTTTCAATGTGGGCGTTTCAGTTCTCACTGTACGAAATGTAGTGTTAGATTTACATTGTAGATCTTTCTCTATACAACGTCATCAATGCAAATACACAGGATTTAAGAATGAATTCAGACGCTTGGTGTAAATATATATTTATTCATTTCATCATACTTTAAGTTCGGTTACATCGGCGGATACCACAGGGGGTAGTGAATGTACATCCGTTTCGCTTCACATTTTTATATGGAACTAAGATGTGCTCCATTCTTGTGTGTCATTCTTTAACTTCGTTAACTCACAACAATCCAGGCTTTTCCTGCTAGTCTTTCTACAAATGAGACTGCCCGAGATGTACAGTTGCTGAAAATACTCCACAGCACTTGGCGTTCAAGTTTTGCGGTCTTATAGGAGTTTATCAGTGGGGCCGTTTACCTTTAAAACGCGTCATTTTCCAGCCGTATCATAAGATGAAAGCGACAATACGTTATCTACGAGGCGATTGATTTCTTTTCCGCACCTTTGGAGACCTTTAGATATACAAGTGTAAATATAACTACTATTTATAAATGACAGGTGTGTAAGAAGAGTGATACAGCTATCAAGAAAGTGCCTCATCATAGTTATGTGCACAAATATAGGGTCAGAAACTGGACCAGGTTTTCCCTCTGTGTGTGACGAAATGACTTGCAACCCTCGACGGTTTCACTTAGTGAAAGATTGGGCAAAACACTAATATTTTCTACTAAATGGAGACCATAGATTGTCCTTTTAAAATGTGTATTATTGCGTTCTTCATGTCACCTATCAAGGACCTCCAATTGTTATTTTTCTTAACTTCTACTACATTGTACAACAACTACATGTAGTTGTACTACTACTACTACTATTATTTGTATGATATTTCAAAAAATAATTTTAAAAACGAAATGCAGACAACTAAAATCAGTGTTCTAGAGCACAGATTTTAAAAGAGGAATCTGACACGACAAACTTGACATTTTAGAGAATCAGACGATTTATCAATAATGTATGTTGGTCAAAGTATACTGAAGACAGCCTTTTACGCCAAATTTGTTCTTTTTTGCCCTTACAGTAAGCGGTTACGTGGAACCTGGAACACTTCTAGCTATACTGGGGGCAAGGTGAGATATTTCACGATATTTCTGAATCAGAAG